GGTCCTGAGTTCAATTCCGAATAACCACATGGTAGCTCACAGCCATCTATAATGAGATCTGGTGCTCTATTCTGGCCTGCAGGCATACGTGCAGGCAGAACACTGTATATATAATAAAATAAATGAAGCTTTAAAAACCCTAAAATATTTTTTAAAAACACACATAACATGAAAGCATGCACAAAATACTTAACACACACGTAAAATACATACACACACACACACAAACACACACACCGCACACAAGTCTACAAAACTTACTCTGCAAAACCTCCTGGTTGCCTATTAGAACTGCTCCTGGCTCCTAGTGGCAGAGGACGGTGTCATTTGTCACTGCTTTCCTGTTCCTTTTCACTGAATATCTATGAATATGTATTACTTTTGTAAAGCAAAACAGCTTGGAGAATTAAAAGATTTGATTAACATTTTTCTCCTATGTCCTATTGTGTGGATTAGGCAGTCACCTTGGAAACTATAATTGAGAGAGCTTTAGATATTGAAATATGGGCATTAAAGTCGAATGTTTCATGATGAAAACAACACCGTAATAAAGCAATCGAGCAAACACATTCACTCAGGGTATCCAGCTACCTGTGGACTGGGAAGTGTTAGAAACTGTAACTGCTGGAGACTTGTCACTGTTAGAGACTGCAACACGACAGAGTACAGCCCCCAGTAGCCATATGGGCAGTCACAAAGAGAGCAGAAAAGCAAAGCAGCCTTCCCCCTGTACTGCCTCCTAGGTATAGATGGGGTGAAGGCAAGACTTGGAGGTGTCTCCTGCATGCGTGAGGCCCTGGTTCACCCCAGCATGGCTCCGAATGAGTAAGACATGGATTAAGATATATCAGAAGTTTTGCGAATCCAACTTAAGTCCATATTTAAAATCCTCCTTCATATTCTTTTACCTTATCACCCCCTTTAAATAAGCTATGTTTTCCCTTATGTCTCGAGTATTTTCCTAGGTCACAAATGGGCCACTTGCATATACAGGCTCTCCCTAGTACTCGCAATACTGGAACAAGTCTTCCAATTGTTCTCTTGCTTTTCTTTTCATTTTTCCTTTTCATTTTGAGATATGAGCTCTCCAAGTGACCCAGGCTGACCTTGACCTCTCACCCCAGCCCCATGAGATTTACAGGTATGTCTTCAGATTGTCCTCAGTAGGAAGCTGAGACCTCTCATAACACCAGTGGGAGCCACTGTGATCTGTCTAGAGGTAAATGAAACTCCAAACTTCGGAAGTCACAATTTCTTCTTAAACACTTCTAGAGAGCAAAGCAAGTCAAGGAGCAGTTAACTTCCTAAGGACGATGGAATGTTTTAGGCACAGCAGCATTTGAATACTGAGTCTTCTGTCAGTTTCTGTTACTTCTTAAAAGTTTGGGAAATGTGGACTGTGACATTTTCTACTTACTTTTCTATAGCCCTTGTATGAATCCTATATACTTGGGTGCTGGGGAACCTCGGCTGGACCAGGTTGGGCATGGTCTTGGGTACCAAAAAGGTATGCACTGGCTTGCTCTCTCTCTCCTCTCTCTCTCTCTCTCTCTCTCTCTCTCTCTCTCTCTCTCTCTCTCTCCCTCTCTCTCTCCCCCTCTCCCACCCCTCTCCTCTTGTCTTGATTCAGTTTCCGTTACCCATTTGTGCAGAGGACTGTGATCTGTGAGTCCCCCCCTAAATAAAGAATCCCTTATTATACTCACCTCTGAATTAATGTGGGATTACTTTATTCACGTTCTCCCACATTTGCCGACCAATGTGGGTACTGCCCGCACCTACCCGGACTGGCTCATGGCTTCCCACTGCTGTCTCCCTCCCGTCTGCAACGCTGCTGCAACCTCTCCAACCACCAGGGGTTTTTTCCCACCGCAATCCCTGCGGTGTCATGTCCACAGGCTGTGCACAGGCCCTGTTCGTGGCTCATGACTCATGGCAAACTTTGGGTTTCTTGATATTCTGGACACCAAAAACCTCTGTCTCTCTGTGTGTACGTTCTCCCACACTTGGGTTTATCCAAATCCACACATATTTATCCATATACATAAAGCCATACATACACACCCAAATATGAATAGGTTGCAGATATGTGTGTGTGTGTATATACACACTCACATGCATACAAATTAACCCAACTTTATACTTAACCCTTTCTAAGATATTTACAAATACTTTTCCTTTAGATAAACTTTCCTAGTCTTTTTGTAAAGTGAGACACTGTATCAATATTTTTTATTGTCCCTCTATAGGTTACACTAACATACACGGCAATAAACACGATTCTTTGTATGTTATTCTTTTTAAGATGCTCAGTTTAAATACCTATGTGTTTAGGAAGTTTTAATGCCAAGACAACCTGAGGCATTGACGGAGTGTTTCAACATTTGCAGCCTCGGTTGAGAATTAATGGAAAAAGAAATTCAAAGGGAGGGAGAAAGAAAGGAAGGGAAGGAAGGGAAAAGAGAGGAGCTGTCAGGTAAGGAAAGAGAGACTGTCACATGCTCACTGATTTAAGTCACAATCACTCCTGGATGCAGGGATGCAGAAGAGTAATATGGCCTCTATGTGTCTGCCCTTCTCTTATCCCAGTGAGTCGCCCTCTGTCATGAGCAACATAATGCTGGGATCAATGCAGGCTGACGCATTCCACCCGCCTCTCTCTGAAGCCAGTTTGGTCTGTTTGTCACATGGGTGAAGTGGGAGACCAGTCATCTTCCCATTTAACCAGGAAGACGCAGCCATTCTAGCCAATGACTTATAAAGACACTTCCTAAATACATCATAGAACTATAGTTAAATTGTACATAACTCAATTTTCTATATAAAAACTAAATTATATAATTTACAGAAACAGATGGAAGTAGTAAACCCATTAGGTTCTATGCACAGGTGTAATGTTTCTCAAAATTCATTCCCCCAAAGCCTTCTGAAGCATTCAAGATTAGAACTCGAGTCCCAGACACGGTTTTATCACCTTCTGTCAAGCCATCCCAAATGCAGGTGGACAGACAACGAGTTCACAGAACCCAGCTGGCTTAGCAGAGAGCTGCAGGAGAGAGAAACGGAAACTCAAAAGCCACAGCTGCTTGGCCAGAGTGTTCCGCTGTGTTTTCAGAATTTCTCTAGTATTTGCCACCACGCATGCCCCAAAGGGAAATTAATGCTGAAGAAGGAACCAGAGCTCCGGCTTATGTCAACCAGTTCAGTAACTCTGAATTTCTTTCTGCAGTTTCTAGAGATTGAACAGGATTTGGAACACTCTAGACAAGACCTCTAGCACTAAGCTATCTCCCAGCCCTCCTTTTCCTTGTTATCTAAAGCAGGGTATTGCTATGGTGCCCAGACTGGTGGTGTAAAGAGGCCTTGAACACTGAGATCCACCTGCCTCTCCTCTGAGAAGCTGGGATGACAGAGGGTAACACTGCTCTTGTCTATGGCTACCCTTGACTACAAATTTTCCTCTCTATCCCCTTTCTCCTGCCAACTGGTTTAAAGGAGTCATTGCTTAGTGAACCTGTGCATTATAATACGGAAGACACAAACTATTTCTCTGCCATCCCTGACTTTGAACATGGAAGACAGCATCTTCCCAAGGTCTTTCAGGAATTGCCCTCCACATTTGTCCACCACTGAAGTGTCTCCACAGATTTCATTCTTCCCAACAGTTAACAAGAATTCAAGCTTTCTATCCAGGTCTGTTAGTGAGCCTCCCATTCCCACTGGGGCCCACCAAAAGCAAACTGTGGGGGTGGCTTTGCTCTTTACTATGGCCCCCAACACTACTGGTGTTTTCTCACGATTTCCCTCACCTGCAGGCTCAGGTTCAGCTATCGATCAGCTATCTGAGTTTGCCTCTGGCTTTCTAAGTTCCTTTACAAGTCAAGTTTGGTAACTTTCGTGATAATACAAACCAAAGAATGACTAGTTGAGTATCATCATCAGTTGAGTGATACTAATAAGATGGCATCTGGAGATGATGGCATCACTGTAACCCTGCAAAGCCAGCCCAGCTCACACACACTGACTACACCTGTCAGGTCACCTCTCCACCCATTCCTATCTTCACAACACTCTTTGCCTGTGTCTGAGTCTCTCAGCCTCCCCTCTTCTCTCAGTCTCTGTCTCTTTGTCTCTGTCTGCCCACTCCCTCCCCCACTCCCCCCACACATACACACCTTTGCATTTTAATGGTAATTGGCAATGGCGCTATTTTCTCTACTGTATTCTTTCACACGTGAATTGAACCTTCAAACTCAGCACGGTATTGACAGATTTGTGGGGAAAATGACCACGGAGAGCACACCAGATAGGGCATGATTTTAGACAACTTTACCGAAGCAGAACACCGCCCTTCCGTTGCACAGGTGGCTTTAATTCACGTGTGATCTGCCACTGATTGACCTCAGCTCACTGAGAAGGTCCAACAAACAGAGCCATCACAGCTGTCAGAAACTGCAACCCATTCCTCACTGCCTTCCTGATTCCTTTCACCCAAGGCACTGAAGAGGCATCTGATTTGTTAAATGGAAAAGCCAGTGCAAAATCAACACTCTTAAGAAATTTTAACCTTTCCCTTGACCGCTTCCAAAATGAGCTAGTGTACCCCAAACAGAAACAGACGCCGCATGGACAATCTGAATACAGCGCCCCCAGGAAGCAGGGGAGCTGGTACACTTGTTTCCGTATCAAGCCAGCAAACACCCCTCACCCGCATCCCGTCCGCTTCGCACGCAGTTGAGAATGGTACTCAGCATCGGCACGAGTGTCACAATACAACGCAGAAAAGACTTCTGCCGGGTGGGTCTGCAGGAATTGTCAGACCCCTCAGCTCTTTGGCCAGTTGCCTTATGATAAACACACAGTAGCCACATAAGTGAATTAGGAAAGAAGGGCAAGCATCTGAAGTTTATAAATATTCAAACTTTTACTAGAAACAGCTTGCATGTGAAATTTAAATGGCACACAGTCCGGGGAAAAAAAAAAAAAAAAAAGGTTCCCTTCCAAAGTTCTACAAAAAAGAATTGTATGTCCAGATGACACACGCGAACCAGATACATCTAAGCATCGTCTGGAAAACGTAATCCCATGCCATGGCTTAATATCACGGGCAACATGCATAACAGAACTCACAATTATTCTTCTGATAACCAAGCCAAAGAAGGCAAGGAAGTAAATGGAGCGATATCAAAGGGAAACAGAAGAAGACAAAGGAAAGTAGCACAGAAATGCACCGGTGCCCTTGCAGTGACTTGCAAGACAAGCTAGACCCCTCCCTGGAGCTTCTATTTCTGGCGAGTCTGGTCACTAGCCGCCCTCATGGGTAAACAGATACCTCAGGCTCCCGCCACTCCTCCAGTTCTCCCTCTGTGTATAAAGCCGGCTGAGGAGAAGGTTGAGGCGGCACCGCTACTGTACCTACAACAGACCAGAAGAGCTAACCCCTCCTTCCTAGAGAGCCTGCCCGGTGGTCATCCCCCTGCCTCAGTGCTGTGTTTCCTTCTTGCTACAACTGCGGAAGGCATCGCTGGGTCCCCAGCAAATTTTAGGTGCTGTGTATTTCTCTGTTCATCACGAACACCAAACCCCTCCTTGATGGAAACTTCCAGAAGGCAAGTTCCAGCCGAAGGAAGCCACTCAGATGGGCTTGATTTCAATCAACAACCCTGGCAAATGAACCTCTTTGATATGCAAAATGTCTGTGCTAGTGAATAATAAAGAATCATATTTCCCCACAAAACCCTTTTCTTGCAGGAGGTTAGGGGAATCTGGGTCTGTGAGTGTTGATGCATACGCTCAAAGGAGAAATGGAGGGACAATATGGGAACCAAATGATCAGAACTGGATCCCGTAAAACGTCGGGGAAAGTTAATATGCCATGGTCTTCATAATGTCAGGCTATTATCATCCTCACAAGGAAGTATCTGGAAGCTTTATGGCTGGGGAATATTAAGAGCACGTCCTCTCAATAAATTTAAACGTGCTGAACATCTTAGCAATTTAAGTTTTAAATGGGAATTTTAAAATATCAAATAGAATGATGTGCTCAGAGGAGGCGCTTGGCTTTTACAGACTTCAAACCATATTACAGTCCAGGGTTAGCCCCCTGTAACTTCCACACTTCCAATCTGCACCGAATACACTCTGCCCCGAGGATCTGCTGCTTTCTAACAGTGTAAGCTTTCTATAGGCATGCGTAATTAAAAAAAGAAAACTCAGATGACGCAGGTGGTGATAAACGCGAATAAGTACATTTGGTACCACAGTTGTGGCCCATTTGAACTCAGGCTCCAATAGCAAGAACAACAGCTAGCTATTTTTAGATAATGAATCACTTGCTCACAGAAGTCAGTGGATGAGTATGTGTCTGCCCCCGGGCATGTAGGTGGAGAAGAAACGGAAGCAGTCATCTGACATTTGTGTTCCAGTCTTAATTATCCTCCTTATTAAAAAAATAAAGCAGTAGATGTGAATGCCAAGGAGACGGTCAAGCTAAGCTTGGCTTGCTGTGGACGATTGCATTTGCACCCTGCCCTTACTCCACACTCTACAATGGGCCCACCCCCTACCTGTTCCCTAGGGAACTAATTCCTCACCAGCACAGACAGCTGTGGGTTCTGGAGAAGTCCAAGGACTTCCTCATGAGGGGAAATCACAAGTAAAATGATTCATCAAGAAATAACAACTCTCCGTGTACATCAACTGATTTTATGCTGATTACCATCACCAGCACAGAAGGGGAGAAGAGGGAACGGGAGGGATGGTGCTCTGAACGCCGGACTGGCTCAACTTAGTGATGCAGCTGAATGTGCCGCCCGACGACGAGAAACAGTAACCCGGCTAGCAGAGAAAAGAGGATGCCGGCCGGGGCCAGGAAAAACGACCAGCCGTACAGAACCGAGGGCGTGAATTCCCAGCAGTCCTTCATTTTCATGGCTTTGTAACTTTCCATGTCAGCCACCGCCTGGACCCAGATGACATACAGCATCACCACCAGGGAGAACAGGACACCTGAGGAAGAGAGAAGACCATTCAACTTCCTGGAGGGACCACCCCCGCAAACTGCCCTAAAGTAATCACTTGTCTAAGGGTGAACGCCTCCACTCTGAGCTGAATCAGGCATCACCTGTCCACTCCTTATGAGCTGAAGCAGCAGCTCTCAATGGGTCCCAACCCCTTTGGGGGGCATCAGACGACCCTTTCACAGGGGTTGCCTAAGACCATTGGAAAGCACAGGCATTTACATTATGATTCATTGCAGTAGCAAAATTACAGTTATGAAGTAGCAATATATGGCTGCGGGTCAGCACAGCATGAGGACCTGTATAAAAGCGCCACAGTGTCAGGAAGGTTGAGAACCACTGAGCTAAAGAGACACACTGCTGACCTTCATATTTTAAAGTATTCTGTGGACCACTGTATTAGCATAAGAGGCAACAGCCACGGTTGGTATGCATTTATTAAGTGCTTACTGTTTGCCAGGTACTATGCGGAGTGTGTGGACATTTGTATTTGACATTTAGACACTTTATAAAGTATATAAAGCTTGGAAGCAAGCACTGTAACCCGTTATTACTTCTTTCAATGCATGCAGTGGGTCAGTGGGAACAGTACCATCAGCCCCAGGGCAGTAAGTGTACGGACACAACTAATGGTGTTCAGCCCAGGCTTTTCAACTTCTTGCTACACCATGGAAACCCAGCTAACTCTATAGAGCTGCAACCAACATGGCCACAGAAACAAAAGCTATATGCGCACCACGCAAAGACAGTCATGGCCGCTTGAATGTGCAAGATGCGCAAGGACAAATGTATGTGCAATTTTTTCAGTCTTTATGTTTATTTTATGCACATTGGTATTCTGACTGCATGTATAGCTTGAGAAGGCCAGAAGAGGGTGTTCGATCCCCTAGGACTGGAGTTACAAGTAAGTATGAGCTACCATGTGGGTTGTGAAAATCAGGAGAATAACCAGTGCTCTTAACCAGAGAGACATCTCTCCAGCATCCCCCCCTCTGTTCCATTCATTACATACATTGAAACATTACATATATATATATATGATTACATTATATATCCACTAAAGACATTCTCTCTCTCTCTCTCTCTCTCTCTCTCTCTCACACACACACACACACACACACACACACACACACACAGGCGTACACACACACACACACACACATGATGGACTCATTGTCTTGAAAGAACAAGGAAAGAACGTTGATGACAAAATAGTCTGAGAAAGAGCCAGGCGGTGGTGGCCCATGCCTTTAATATCAGATGGAGCTGTTATTATAACTACCAGGCAAAAGCACATCAATGGCTTCTGATGACATCAATAGCTTTTGATGACATCGCTGGTTTCTGATGCGCTAGCCAGTAACTTGCTTCACACAAACTGTACACCCTGAAGGATTTGGACCAATCCTAGAACTTGGGGGCATTAGCCGTTGTCGAAAAGGTCAAATCAAGCATGACAGTTACAGTTATGGTCATTGACTTAGTGGATGGAATGAACAATTAGCATTGCCTGAAGTCACTGAAACAGAAAGTGCTTAGTTTGGCCTTGAACAAGGAAAAACATCACAGTGGAAGCACTTGGCTGAGGACACTGTTTATTTGAGAAGGGCGATGAAGCACAGAGAGAGGAAAAGGCCAGGGTCCCGATGTCTCTTCAACAGCATGTCACTACGACCTAGCTTTCTTCCACGAGGCCCTGTCTCCCAAAGGTCTACCACTGACAGGAGAGCAGTAGGCCGGTGGCTGACCCTTAAATCACTTTATTTGGAGAAAACTCCAGATAGAAATGATAATAAGTATAAGATGTTCGTATTTTGACTGCTACATATCTGAAAGCTAACTGCATTTCTACTACTAAGGGCAGAAGTAACAGCACACTGATAGAAGAGAGAAGCTTTTAAGAGCCCAGCTATACAACACACTTAGCACATTCATTGCTAGCTTACAACGCTGAGGGTGATGCTGCACCACCACTAGGCCACCATGGACAGGAAGAATCTTCAGGATTAGACACAAAAGAAAGGTTTGTAACTATGTCTAAATGCACTGGTATCCAAGCTTAGACCTTCTCATAATGACCATTCCAGTCACCGATCAATGAGAAATCAATGTTTCCTCTAGTAAGAGGGGATCATCACACTACGATCTATATTGTAAGAGCATACACTGGCCCACAGGCGGGGCAACTATCGGTGAGTAGTGACTGTAGCAGAGACGTAGTTGGTGAGCAAACTCCTGACAAGGCTTTACCTGAGACGCTGACAACAGTATGGCTCTTATGCAGTGACTCTGCCTTCAAATACATTTCTACAGCAAATGTGTGCACAGTATTCTCTGTTAGTATAAGGGTTTGGGCATTTGCATAATATCCTTTGCCTACTGAAAACAGTACAAATCTCCATGTTATTTGTTGATATGATTTTGATCTTCCATCTATCATGTTTTCAGATATTCTTATTAAAAATGAAATTGATTTTGTGAAAAAATCCAGTCACCCTATATATATATATATACATATATATATATATATCTTTCAAAAGCCATTACTAGATTGTGAATGTTAAAAAGTGCATTGTGGGAAGTAATATAGATGATTATTAACAAGAAATATACTTAAACAACGCTGTTATTTGGAGAGAAAATGCATCATGAAAACATTAAAAAATTACTCATTTATTTCATTCTTTAATCTGTTCATTAATTGATGATACAGACCACTTAATTTATATGAAATCAGTTTACGCTTCTATCTTACCTACGGAGCAAAATATTCCATACTCTGTACCCACTGAATTAGAAATGGTAAGTGGGGATGGGAGATGAGGGCGAACCATGGGTGAAGGTATTCACACCATAGCACGAAGAGTTAACTGCTAATGAAGTAAGAGTTAGTCCCATGACCCTACAAGGTCTGTGCTCAAGAAGGGAGTCAGCTATATATAACTAACCTAATCAAACAAACAGATCATCGATTCTAATGGGAGCTATATGAAAAGAATAGAAAGCAAGGATGGTCTCTGCCATGTTGGAGTGAAATTGAAAGCAGAGTGAATTCACAGTCGTCAACAGGAAGATGACAGGAGTGAGAAGTGCAGGTGAGACAATGACTGTTCCCACAGGCTCAGGCCTTCCGCAGAATGCCCACTGTAGAGGAGCAGAGGGTAAACGCTGCTAAGGAAGCCTGCCTAACGCCATGCTGTTCGAAATGCTCAAAGTTAACATCATCAGGACTAGCTACGCCAAGGTGATGGGGGAGGGGCCACTGAATGGACTTGGTGCTGCATCAAAATGCAGAGCCTGTTCCATCCATGAAAGGGCAACAGATGCAACACCATTCCATAAACCCACAGGCCTGTGCTCTTCAAAAAATGCCGAGGCTCTGAAAGTCAAAGAGCTAGCTCTGGTTTGATGGAGACTCGTGGGACATGAGTAACTAGATTCGTGGTCCAGGGTCAGATCCCTTGTTCTGAAAGAAATGAATGGGACAGCTACAAAAAAGATAATGGGGGGGGAGAGAACTCGCAATTGCTGTGTAACATTGAGGATGCCAACCAAAGAAATATGAAACGCCTTGAAGGGGAAAATGGGGCAAACCTGTGGCCATGTTGCTGGGAGAAAGGTGGAAGGAGAGAGAGGAAGCAACGTGTGGATCCATCAGAGAAGATGTCCACCCCTTTGGTAGGGCACTGTGGCTCTGTAGGAGCAATCACTCAGTGACCCGGTAGACGCTGAGTGGAATGTCTCCACGGGACAACACTACTTACATGAACCCTCTATCTGTTTACAGTCTAGGGTTTATTTATGGAATGTGAACGCCAACAGGCTCGAGTAACAGAGGAGCCACATTTCAAACTCACTTACCACGCTGGCTTTAGTGGAATAGAAACCAGAGCTGATATCTAGGTAGTCATTTGTTTTTTAAATAAAATGATTATTAAATTAAATGTGGTTATATATTGCAAAGGCCCAAATTTGTTTACAATTAATTTTTATGATACCTGTTTTCTACGTTTCAAAATCAATTAATAGCTCCCAATAGGAAAAAAAATCAAAGAATGGTCTCAAAGGCCATTAGTATTTATAGTCCTGCTGAACAATGGGTACGGAATTGAGCGACCTGAAAGATACACTGAATCAATCATAGATAGCATGAACAAGTGTCATTTAAACCTACACTTTTTTTTAAAGATTTATTTATTTATTATGTATACAACATTCTGCCTCGATGTATGCCCGCACGCCAGAGGAGGGCGCCAGATCTCAGTACAGATGGTTGTGAGCCACCATGTGGTTGCTGGGAATTGAACTCAGGACCTCTAGAAGAGCAGCCAGTGCTCCTAACCTCTGAGCCATCTCTCCAGCCCAAACCTACACTTTTTAAATGGATCCTCTCACAAGGTTATTGGTGTATCGCTGTGGCTTCATGTAGACTTTAGAAGGCGAGTGGAACCCATCTAGAAGGATCTCATAGTCCCCTCATGTCAGCATGTTAAGTTTAACATTAACATCCTAAATATTATCATCTTAAGATGCCACAATATTGATAAGCCTGTTGTCATATGATGTAATGCGTGATGTCTCAGGTACCTGGAAGATGTCAGTGTCTGAGGCATCTATGCATTTCCAAAGCAGGGACTCGTGCAAGCTGACCCATCTCACAGTTAGTTCCACTGCCAAGTCCAACGCATCTATTTTATACTCTGCATGTTAGAAAAAATGGCGAGGGGAAATCTGCCAATTATCCATTTGCTAAACAGTAATACTTCTCATTATATTCTAATGCACTTTCAAAGTAATTTCATGAATATTGCATTCATTAAAACTAAGACGTCTTTCTGGGCAAACAAACTAAATGTCCTTTAAAATATGTTAGATTGTGTTTTGTAATGATTGGTTGTTTCTTCTTTATACTAATAGACTACTGTTTTCTTTTAGAATTAAATGATGCTTTTTTTATGCATCCTCTATCAGACGTTTAAAACAACTAGT